CCCCTCCACTGCACTGAGCCTTACAGTGGGGTTTTGCCCATTTTTGCTCCTTATAAAGTCTCTCTTCTTGAAGGAGTAGCTGCCAGGCAGCCTTATGCCTACACTGTGCTGACAGGTGAACAGTGGATGGTTATTTCCACTGCTATGGCTTTGTTGTTGGCAACCCCTTCATCCTCTTGTTCCAGTCATCTGTTCTTTCTCAAGCTGGCTCCAAAGACTGAGGGAAACAAGCTGACTTTGGGGGAGCAGATAGTTACCCTCTCTGCTCCCTAGAATCAGTGGGATAAAGCCCTTCTAGATGTTCCTTTTACATGAGACTAGTGGAGGATCTGGCTGTCTTGGGTCTTTGCTATGTTTTTTGTGGCACCTCAACTCAGTTTGAAAAATGCGTTCAAAGACAAAAGCATGAGTAGAAGTTGAGTGAGGATAAGTCTCTGCTGCTCTCTGCTCCGGAACCCTGATGTGCTATCAAAGGGAGAGACAGTGTTAAGCAAATAAAAGGTATTTTCAGGAAAAAACCCAACTATTTCCTTCTTCTGACCACGGTGCACCTGCAAACCTCCAGCCAATGTAGATGGAAAAGTGTGGGTCTCCAGGCTGGGTGGCAGAGCCTGAAGGCTCTGTGATTCCTTCTTGTCCAGCAGGGCTTCACTGCAGGAAATATTTTCATTGTCATTGTGAGTCGTGGTGTTTGATTTCGGTGAGAATGTGACCACGTACCACGAGAAAACCCCTTCCTGCCTTCCACACAACAAATGGCATGCTGGTCTTATTCCCTCTCCATCTTGACACTGGTAGTTGGGTTGTTGAACTCTTGCTGGAGTTATGGGAAGTCTCCTTTACCTCTTGTGTTAATCTTCTACAACATACTGTGTCTTAACCACAGAAGTGCTGCCTGTGCCTGTAATTGAAGCAGCCACCATCTTCTGGCTCCCGAATGTCCTGCTTCCATATGCCACGTGTCACCACCAGCATCTGCGGTTGTAGATTGCACTGTCCTGCTTTGCAAAGCTTTTCATCCTTTTTGTAGAATCGTAGAGTCACAGAATGGCTTGAGTTAGAAGGGACCTTAAAGATCAACCCCCCTGCCATGGGCAGGGACACCTTCCACTAGGCCAGGTTGCTCCAAACCCTGTCCAACCTGATCTGTAACACTGCCAGGGATGAGGAAAAAAATTCTTGGCTTTAAGCTTCCTGACCTCAGTTCCAGAACTCTGCCCCATCCCTTCGCACTTTCAGTTCTTCCCATCTCTATTTTACTCACATTTTTATGCCTTTTCCAGCGAGTTTTTGTGTCTCACTCTGCCCTCCTTCACTATACACCCATCAGTGTCTTTCCCACCTTGAGGCTGTTCTTTGTTCCACAGTGGTGTAGGTGGCTGACCTGTGTTGTCCATGCCTGAGATTTTTTGTCACCTCCTTGGGCAGTGTGTGCATTTGAGGTCATCACAGTGTCACTCAGTGCTGGAGACATCCAAGAGGCTGCCAGATGGCAGAGGCAGTGGTGCATGGAGGTCGAGCAAGATGAGCTGTATGACCATGTTACCCCATTCTCGAGGCAGGGTTGATTTAATTTGGCCCCACCATCATGCTGACAGTTGCATGGGATTCATTTCTACTTGTCCTTCTGGTGCCACTTGGTACTGTGAGCTGTTGCCTTGGGTGGATCTGATGGACATGGCATTTTTTTCTGCCATGTGGTCTTCATCCACCTCAGGAGATACCTGCTCTGGTTGCTTCCACTTCTGAGAGATTTTTTTCTGAATCAGCAAACTCACAAATGCATAATTTGCTTTTCTGCTGACAGAACCTTCAGAAAACCTCTTGGTCTCCAGCTTCCACTTCCCAAAGCTGTTATCTTGATGTTCTTCAGGAATGCAACACATTTCCATTTGTTTTTTTAACATCCAGTGTTCTTACAGGAGCTTAGTGCTCCGTGCATGCAATGGACTATCACAAAGTGAGCTTAACAACCTGGCTTTCCCATGAGTTTCTTAGGAAACTTGTTCAGCCTGGAGAAGAGAAGGCTCCAGGGAGACCTTAGAGCAGCTCCCAGTACTTAAAGGGGCTCCAGGGGAGCTGGAGAGGGGTTTTGGACAAGGGCCTGGACGGACAGGACAAAGGGAATGGCTTCCCACTGCCAGAGGGCAAGTTTAGGTGGGATATTGGGAAGAAATTGTTGGCTGTGAGGGTGGTGAGGCCCTGGCACAGGTTGCCCAGAGAAGCTGTGGCTGCCCCATCCCTGTAAGGGTTCAAGGCCAGTTTGGATGGGGCTTGAAGCAACCTGGTCTAGTGGAAGGTGTCCCTGCCCATGGCAGGTGATTGGAACTGGATGATCTTTAATGTCCCTTCCAACCCAAACCATTCCATGATTCTTTCTCTTATTCTATGAAACTAAAGGCAGCACCAGCTCTGTTGACAAACAGGTCTGTGAACTCTGCCTAGTTTTGGATCCTGACCCTTCAGTGCTCGGTGAGCAGAGGTGTCCTCTGTCCCACATAGCTGGGATAAGTCTTTAAGCTCGGGTTGAGTAGCTTTTGCTTAAGCCTTATTTCATAAAACTCGACTTGCAGGTTTGAGACTTTTTATCAAGAGGATGGGATTTCTTTCATCTCATTTGAACTCTCATGATATGCTTAAGTATTTTCTGGGAAAGACAAGGAGAATTGGTGAATGGTTGGAACGTTTGCCTAAAATGGTGCTTTTCATCCGAAGATTTTTGGGAAGGTTGTTTTACCTTTTTTTTACCTTTTTTCCCTGCAAGAATTTCAAAGGGATTTGCAAAGTTGTTTCTTTATAACTGAAAGTTTGAATTGTTTCAAAAGTTTAGTCCAAACATAGGGATGTTATGTAGTGGGTTTGTGTATTGGGGATCTCTTGGGTTTTAATTATACATGGCCCTGCTGCCCTTTCCTGGTGTTTTTCTTTAGGAGCAGAAACCACTCCTGACTCAATTCCTGCAAACTCCATTGCATCTTTCCCTTTTCTGTTTGGGTGCCACATCTTTCTGGTGACAGGGAGGAGGAGAGCACAGCCAGAGCTCTTGAGGCTGAAAACTCTGCCAACAGGTTGTGTCTGTCTCACTTCTCCCTTAGAGGAGGTGGACTTGGGGCTGCTGGGGTGGTTTGGTAGCAAAACCAACACAGCCGTGTTCATGCCCCTGAATGCCTTTTCTGTTTGCAGTTGTGTGATTTTGAAACAGTACATTAGTGCAGTGAGTGACGGGTCTTGGCTTGGAGAATTTCATACCAAATACTTGGACCTGTGTTGAACCACGGGGAAGTTTAGACGTTGGAAGAGTCCACCACAGTGACATGTGTTGGTGAGCACAACAGCAGATACCTGATTTGCTACTGAAGAGGTTCCAAGTCACCTTTCTTCAAAAGTTTAATGTTTAAATCTGTACTTTGCAGACACAGATTTAGAGTCATAGAATCACAGAATGGTTTGGGTTGGAAGGGACTTTAAAGATGATCTCGTTTCAACCCCCTGCCATGGACAGGGACACCTTCCACTAAACCAGGTTGCTCCAAGGCCTGTCCAACCTGACCTTGAATATTTCCCCTTGATTTCACATTTGATCTGAAACAGTCCTACTTACTGTCAGTTGGGAGTTTTCAGGCTGGTTTTTTTTCACTTCCATTGATTTTTTGAGACTTCTTCCCACAGTCTTGGTGTTGAACTCTCTGCCACCTTTAGCTTGTCTTGCTATACCTTGAACACCTTGCAACCTTGAACACCTCAGAGTTGCTTTCTTTTTCCCCGCTGTTAACTCCTTACTTCTCACCCTCCAGCTGCCTCCTGCAGCTGCAGATCTCAAAGTGCTTTGCAAAGGAAATAAAAATCATTAGTTCTATTTTGCAGATAACTGCAGATACTTCATCAGAAGCAGCAGAGTGGCTTGTCCCAGGCTACCCAGGATGTCCAGTGTCGATGGCAGGAGGAGGACTAGACACCTGGCCTCACGAACCCTGCTTCTCATTTTTAATGGATTAAAAATTCCTATTCAGACTGTCCTTCTTTGACATCTACTGAAATAGGTTGTCTGAACTGAGGTCATTTCGGGAAGGTGGAAGAAAAGCTTTCCCAAGGAGAGGAGCCCTTGCTAAAGAGTACTCTGCCAGCAGGGCACTTCTGCTCTTAGGGGCTGTAGGTTTTGTGTCCTTTGGTTGCCTTTTGTCTCAGAGCTATGTCAGGGTAAGTCTCGTGTGGACATCCCCCCTCCCATCAACGCTGGGTAGAACAAGCCACCTGGGGACATTGGCTGTCCTAGAGGATATGGCCACTATTTAGGACCCAATTACACAGGTAGCTTGATGAAGAAGTTCGGTAGCTTATAAGTTTTGTTTTAAACCTGCTGGAAATGTTAGAAAGAAATGGAATTGTGCGTCTCTGGGATGGAACCGGAAAATGCCCAATTTGTGGCAGAGACTGGCTTAGTCTTACAGAGGGATGGTGAATTTCTGGAGAGAAGCTTTGTCCACAGCTATTTCTGGTTTTGGATAAGGCTTAATTGAGCTGGTTGAGCCCTATGTGGCATCTTTTCAGGGTGACTTCACGGAGGGGAGACCTTTCAGACAGGCAGAGTTGGAGCTGCTCCCAGTGGGACTGGGTGGGAAGAGCCACTGTTGCGGAACGGGCCTAATTGGTTTCCTGGGCTAAATTCCATCTTGTGGGCTCCCTGCATGCCGGCTGCAGCATCAAACTGAGTTGGCCAAACAACTCCGTGGGGAATGTGTGCCATAATCCCATCTGGGAGTTGCAGAGATGACTGGCTTTTGGGCTCACAGCCATCCCAACTGTGGGTGCTTCACCCACTCCCTCACACTTACTGGAGCCGACACCCATTTTCCGCGCTCCCGACCCTGGTGGAAACCTCTCCCTTCTGGCAGCACGGGTGCCACAATCCTCACCAAACCCACTGAACACCTTCCCCCCTCCCCAGGAAAGCTCTGCTAATGCTGTCCATCATGAATAACTCTAATCCAGTCTTTATTTAGGGCTGCACCCTTGCTGGCATCTCCTCCGGTGGAGAGTATCCCGTTAGCGGCGTGACTCCCGACCCGCCGGGCCATCACTCCTCAGGGACTCTGGGCCAAATTCCACTCTGGAAGTTTTCGTGGCTTTTGCAAGAAGCCAAATTCTTTGGTGTTGGGGTGGCTGGCAAACGGGCTGGCTCTTCCTGACCACAATCCTTTGGCAGAGAAATTATTAGGAAGATATTAACCATATAATGTTTTGGCGGGGTGGCAGCCGTCACTACTGCTACAGTATGTTTTAAAAAAAAAACAAAAAACAACTTAAAAAAAAAGAAGGACAATAAAGTAGGCTTTTTTTTTTTTTTGTTGGAAAAGAAGATTTCATGTTATCTGTGTTTGCAGGCTTTCTGGCTCATATGCTGGAGGAATCCTTGCTGCGGGGGTGTTTTCATTTTCTCGTCTAACATGGCAGTGGTCCATCACGGCGGAGGTTTTCAGCTTAAACAATCTGTTTGTGGGGCTGCTGATGGCTCTCACTGCTCATTTTGAGGAGGCATCCACTGCAAAAGAGAGATCAAAGGTAAAACATCTCAAGCAAAGCGAATAGTTCTTTATCTTCTGTTATTGAATTGTCACCTGTCTGTTTAATTTCCTATTTGTTTATTGCTGGTTTAGTTTTGTTTAAGTAAAAAGGCCAAATTTTGGGACCTGGTTCAGCACCTGTGCTGGGTGATGTCCATTCCTGACCTACCTGGATGTTCAAGAGTGCCAGACATTGAAAGAAACCTGTACACTTTGTTTAAAGATTGAGTTGGGACCTGTTGGATGCATTTGGGGCTGGTTTGTTTAATACCACGGCGTGGAAATATGAGAAGCAAAATCATTTTCATATAAATGTTTTAGTTCTTCCTGCATCAAAGACACAAACTAGGCTGTGGGTGCTCAAGGTTTTGTTTTAAGAACTGATATTTTTCTTTGGGGTAAATAGATGTATTTTACAGAAAACTTCATCTAATCAGAAACCCAAGTTTCTACTCAAAACCAGAAACAACCAAATTTTCAATCAGTATTTCTTTTGAAATTAAATGTGCCCCTAAAATAATGCCATTGTTAAACACAGAGACTTTAAATTTCATGCTTTATTCTCTACTTTATAAACAGACTAGGCAGCCAAATGATATTTTTGCTCAGCAGTCTTGTTCTTTCTACTTTGGTTTGCCTGAACATCTGATCTCTTTTCCTCCGACAGACTTGCCTGCTGTGACTCCTGTAAATTGTGTGAATAAAAGGATTTTTGTCAGGCTAGGCTAGAATTTCAGGAGCCTGCAGTGGTAGTTTACTCAGCTTCGTGAGTTCTCAAATAACATGTTTTATCAATGGTTACAGAGACCTTGTTTCACCACTGGAATTTTTTATTTTTTTTTTTTATTTTCTAATGAGCAGTGCCCCAAGATCCCCACAACCTGAACTCCACGGACATGGAGTTGGGCATTTTCCAACCTGCTCCCATGTTTCCTGTGCCCAATTTCCAACGGGATTTTCAAATGAGATTTTCAGAAGCAGTTAAGGAACTTGTTTCAGTGGTTTTCTGGGTGTCTGGCATCCCACACCTCGAAGAAGCCAGGCTGCCAACAGCAAGCTCGTGGTGCTTTTCATAAATCAGATGGGCATAGAGACATCTCCAAGGGTGTGCTTGGGGTTCATCAGTATACTTATAAAATCTCTGAGGTGGTTCAGAGACCTGCCAGGCAGCTCTGAAAAGGTTTTTCTGAAGTTATGGCAGGTGTTTCCATGTCAAGGCAGCGTCCAACGTGGAATGCTGAGCAGTTGATTTATAATTACAGGGTGATCCCATCACTACACCAAGGCAAGTGTTTGCACCTCTCACACCACCCTCACCAGTGGCTGAAATAAGCAGGGGACGTTTAAGTTGGATATTAGGAAAAGGTTCTTCATCCAGAGGGTGGTCAGGCACTGGAACAGGCTCCCCAGGGAAGTGTTCACAGCACCAACCCTGACAGAGTTCAAGAAGTATTTGGACAGTGCTCTCAGGCACATTGTGGGATTTTTGGGGATGTTCTGTGCAGGTCCGGGAGTTGGGACTCGATGGTCCTGATGGATTCCTTCCAACTCAGGATATTCTGTGGTTCTGTGGAAGTGCCATCCTCCTTGGGGCTGGCTGGGAAGGTGAGGATGGGTTGTCTGCTCCTGTCCGTGGGACTTTGGTGGCTTTTTGCCCACTGAGGAGCTGCCCTTGGCATGGCTTCAGGATGTAACATGGACCAATGGGCAGTGATGGTGGAGGAGGAGGCAGATTCAGAGGAGGAGCAGTGGTGTAGGTGGCATTGACCCAAGGATTCTGTATGGAGTTGTCCTTGTAGCCTTCCTAAATGAATATCAGAAATCCCCTGCACTGTGCTCCGTAGTCTGGATGCGTTACCTGTTTTATCATAAAACTCTTTTGAAGATGCTTGAAATTGATCTTTTAGATGAATGAGGGATATCAGCCTTAATTCCTGAAGTTTGTGTAGCCCTGACTTTATCCCTCTGTGCCTGAAGAAGAGTTAAAAATCATTCCTGTTATGAAAAATGAGGTCTCTGTATATAGGGGTATTATTTTAGGGTATGACTTCTGAAAAAATTTGCACCATTTGGAGTTAACTGCTCCCTGTGCAGCCTCCCCTGTGCAGCTGGGGTTTGGGGATTGGATTGGACTCATTGTTAGGATGTGATGATGCTATGTGGGATCTCTGTGTGCATGGAGACACAGCAGCTAAACTGGACACTTCTTAAAGAATATTTTCTGTTAAACGAATGAAATCTCTCTGTAAATAGCCAAAAATAACCTGTTATCCATGTTATAATTGACCAGTGCTCGCTGATGTATTTGCCTTTCTCTTCTAAGGGTGCCGTGGGCTGCGCTGAAGCTTTTTTGATCTCTGAGTGTTTTTGCAAACCATAAGCAGTGATTGTGGATGTTTTTTTCTCCCCTCTCAGATCTCTAAGCTTGGTGCCTTTTGCTGTGGGCTCAGTCTGTGCAATCAGCACACGATAGTGCTTTACATCGCTTGTATCGTGCCTTGGGTTCTCGCCCGGCTCTTCAGAAAGTCGGTACGTGTTTTGCTGACCCTGTTTTTCTGAAGCAGTGGGTAATTCTTCTTTCCAAGCGCTGCTGCCACCTCTGTGTGGATCTACAAAGAATGGTCTGTCTGAACTTGTTGGTCATAACCCACTGAAGTTACAGTTCATCTGTCTGACACCAGAGCCGCTGATCTAAAGGGGGCCTGGTTTAAGGGGGGCCTCCAAAAAGGCTGGAGAGGGACTTTTTACAAGGACATGGAGTGACAGGACGAGGGGAAATGGCTTTAAACTGAAGGAGGGCAAGTTTAGATTTAGATATTAGGAAGAAATTGTTGGCTGTGAGAGTGGTGGGGCACTGGCAAAGGCTGCCCAGAGAAGCTGTGGCTGCCCCATCCCTGGAGGTGTTCAAGGCCAGGTTGGATGGGGCTTGGAGCAACCTGGGGCAGTGGAAGGTGCAGAGGGGTTGGAACTAGATGATCTTTAAGGTCCCTTCCAACCCAAATTATCAATGACTCTGTGATTCTGTGATCACAATTTAGGAGCTTTACTCGTGCCAGCAGTCTGTGACCCACTTGTGTCTCCTGGCACAGGAACACTCTGCCCCAGCTGTTTCCAAATACCCTGTAAGCTAAAATAATACTGGGAGCTAAAAACTGCTCAGACTGTAGGAAATAAGAGCAAGTTCAATGACCTACCAAATAGGAGAGCAGATAAATATCTGTTGGGGAGAGTCACAGCCATATGCAGTCTGTGTGTGCTGCTTCTCCTGGCCGGTGACACTGGCTTTTTCCTGCCATGAGCTCACCTGGAGATGAGTTTCTGTACGTTGGCTCCCTGGTGATAACAAACAAAAGCCATGTCCACTCATGGTAGAGCATCTTCTGACTGCTGTTGATAGGTGAAGGTGCAGCCAGAACAAGCAGAATGGCATGAAAGGCATGGAGGTTTGTTTTCCCTTGGGATGTCCCAGGCTTGGTGACCTCCAGCTCTGATGTGTTCAGGACCTGAGAGTCCTAGAAGAGATCAACTTTCAGGTAAAGAGCTGGAGAGGACCAAAGAAAGGCAACATTGCAACAGCAAGCTTTTGATCCCCTCAAATCCATCCCCTTCTCAAGATGTCCCTTATTTTACACCTCTTTTTATTAAACTTGATTGTTGTGTAATAAGCTGAAAACACATTTTTGCATTCCTGGTGTTTGGAGGTGATATGCATCCATTTGGATGAGGCTCCTGGGTGCCATTCAGGGACCCTGCCATGCTCTTTTCTGCTGTAGCTGGTTTTCTGTGAGTCAGTGCACCAGGCTGGATGCAGATGTGTTGTAGGAACTCTACTTTGCCCATGAAACAGCGGCACGTCTCAGCCATGCAGGTGCTCTGACCATTTTGGAAGTGGCTCTGGGAAGCCTCCACCTACTTCCCTCTCTCTCTCTTTTGTCCCTCTGAAGGTGACAGTTGGGCACCCTTAACCAGAAAAATCCTGTGTGGTTCTCAGTAATGGCACAGGGTGAAGCATTTGAGCTGCAAGAGGTGCAGTGCAACTCAGGGTAGCCTGATCCAAAATCTGTTCAGCATCTCCAACAAACCTCTTTCTGGCTACATAATTCCCTTAACACGATGAAGACTCACTTCTGCAATATATTTGTGTTCTTCAAACAGAATTTTTAGTACTTTTTTTTTTTCAGCCAGGGAGGTCCAGAGAGGCCTCTGTGATTTCCAGCAAGGACAATGCTGTGCCAATATAATAATCCTGGAAAATGCTTTAGACAGCCCAGTAGTGCCTGCTGCAGAAAACCACCTAATAAGAAGGATAATTGATGGAAAAAGTGCCTTTTTTAAATAAAAATGAGCCATCTTTCTTCTGAAGAATCTGGCCATCACCCTTATCGAGCTCCTTTTTCTGCTCTGTAGATCATCCCTCTGAATTGGTGCCTCTTCCCTGTAACCCCAAATGCCGAGGAAGTGCTTTGATTGACAGGGCAGTGGCTAAAAGATAAAGCCAGCGTGCAATATTCTAGGGTGGGATTTTCCAAAGCACTTAAAGGAGTTAGGCACAGAAGTCCCTTTGAAAGTCTTGTCTTCCTGACCCCTTAGGCAGTCTTGAAAATCCCACCCCAAAAGTTGGCCCTATCCAATTTAACCACTGTAGTCACGATAAAGTAAATGGCAAAACTGACTCCTGATGATGGTGGTGATGTGTGTAGTTGTACTAGAGCAGCATTTATGTGTTTTTTTTTTTTTTGCCAGATGGAATACCAGCCAACTCTTAATCGCTGCAAAGTGGGTTATCTCAGCCTTGCAGTGCTTCAGCCATCTATGCATGTCATGCCATGATTTAAATGTGAAAGATGCAATGAGTATGATACTCATGAGTCCTAGCTAATATTATTTGCTTCACTTAAATTTCACCCTGCCATGCAAAGGAGATCAGTTTGATGCAGTTTCCTAGTAATCCACAAAATCGTAAGGTTTAACATAGCATTTTGTAGGGACTTACTATAAATTGAGAGATCAGCTCTGTGTAAATATATTTGATGTTTTTTCTTTATCTGTTCTTGAAGTTCCAGCGTGATTAAACTAAAATAAACATTGTTATGCAATATGACATATTTTGGTGCAGGAATTGTCCCCAGGCCATTTGCTGAAGTTGGGTTTATGCTTCTTGGCTGGTTTGCTGCCTTATCTCTATCTGCCGGCTTCGTCCTACCTCAGTCGAGCCCGTTGGACATGGGGAGACCAGACGACTCTTCAAGGATTTTTGACCCACTTTCTCAGGGAAGAATATGGGACATTCAATCTGGTAAATAAGGGTCGTTTTCTAAATTGCTTTCTTTTTGACTTACGCAACTGTTCTCTGTGACGATTAAGGGCTCGCGGGGAAAGGAATTGAAAATGTTTCATTTTTTTTAAGCGTTTATTTCTGATTTCGACCTTCTGACCTGTCAGGGTTTCTGGGAAATGGATCACGTGGCTGGGAAAGCAGAAAGATAATTCTGTTTGCCTTCATGGGGCGAGCCATATTGTTTCCTGGGAGCTGTCTGGTGTCTTGTGTATGTAGAGCCCAAAGAGCAAACTGTGCTAGAGGGAGATGGTGACATCAATTTGATGGTTTTCGTGTTTTAAGACAAATATTTTCTTATTTCTCTGTTTTTAACTCGAATATTTAAAGAGGTCACAAGCAGCTTTCGTTTCAAAATTGTTCCTCTTAACTTACTAATACTGAATTTAAATGAATGGTTGGCTTGGGGGGGTTTCAGGAACCTCTGATTTGAGTTACTGAGGTCTGTGCTCTTGCCAAGGAAGGGAAGCATTGCATGGTTGCTTGCAGAGTGTAAGGTTTGCATCTGCCTCCTCCAGCCCTGACTTGGATGTTTGGCTGTGGCCACCCAAGGAAAGCACGTGCCCATCACCCCAGTTTCTGTCCTCCTGCTTCAGAGATTTGGGTGCAGAGGGCTGGGAAATGACACCACTGGGAAGAAAAAGATAAAAAGGTGTGGTCTACATGTTGTGTCACTCCTTGAAGCCCCACATCCTCAGAAGTTAAGCCCCTGCATGCAGCCAACGTGACCATCACTGTCCTATTACAGCTGTGTGGCTGTAGGATGTGTGTCAAAAGACACGATAATTCCTGCTGCTGCCACTAAATCTTTCCAAAACTCCTACAGAGATAAGATCCACCCTCTGAAGGACTTCTGAGATTTCCCCTGTTGCCCTATTCCCAGCCGCCTCCCGAGGATAAGACTCCATTGGGCAGAGCAATACCAAGGCATGCAAATCCCTTAACTCCTCTCTCCATCAAATATGATGAATTCAAGTTGATGTTCAGGAGGCTTAGGGATGGACTGCGTGTAATCCTACACCACAAATCACATTTGAACTTGTCTGAAGCAGGAGCAATAAATACAGCAAAATCCAAGCGTTTGGTCCCGGTGCCAGCTGGGCTAATTCCAGAGCACTGCCTGGATGGACAGCCAGCCCTTGCATCCCGTAGCTCTGTTTTAAGGGCAGACAGGGTCTTAAATCACCTCAGAAAATGCTCAGGAGGGGGTTCCACCTGTAAGCCAAGGATCAGAAATGTCATCTCCTTGCGAGGGATGTGTCTGGGACCAGAAGCCACCAGCAAAGTGGGGCTTCAGGAGCTGTGAGCTGGCTCTCCATCCTCTAACACTTATTTTTTAATTAAAACCTGAATGCAATTAACTATTCCATTTTTATTGAGATTAAGTATTCCTTCCAGTCCTCCTGAATGTGTTTACCTTACCTTTTTTCTGGTAGCCACCGCTTTTCCAACAAGCAGCTGTGAAGGTTAATTCCTCACCTCCACCGAGCATGTCTTCTTTCCCAGAATTGTGCCATAGATTGCAGGTCTCTGCAATAAAAATTCCCATGTATCTCATACAGCTCTGTCAGGGCAGAGGAGATGGGGGCAAGCCTGCTAAGCAAGGAGGAATTGAGGCCTGCAGCTTCTCTCAGGCTGTGAGGAGATGTCCCAGAAAATAATTGCACTGTGCAGATACAGGACGTGGCCTCGAGTTGTGCCAGGAGAAGTTTAGATTGGATATTAGGAAAAATTTCTTCACAGAAAGGGTGTCAGGCATTGGGACAGGATGCCCAAGGTAGTGGTGGAATCACCATCCCTAGAGGGATTTAAAAGCCGTGTGGACGTAGCAGTTGGGGACATGGGTTAGTGGTGGACCTGGCAGTGCTGGGTTAATGGTTGATGATCTCAGAGGACTTTTCTAACTTAAATGATTCTATGATTCTATGATATAGCAGAGATCAGGCTCAAATCACCAGGGTAATCCATTGTCAGCACTTTGAAAAAATGCTTATCCAGGAAGTAAACCCATCACATAAAACAGGAATGTGGGAGAATATCTTGCAATGAAGGTTTGAGTAGAGCTTGCTGCCTTTTTGCAAAGAGAAAATTGAAAGACTTTCCTTGTCCCAGTGATACTCAGTCAGTGTGTAGGTTTCTCATGTGCTTCTTTCTTTTCAATACAGGCCAAGTCCGAGACAGGATCCAGTATGAGAGAGATGCTGCTGTGAGTAACATCTTGATATGCCTTTTAGTGGAGAGGAACCTGTTGCTGCTGCTGGTATTTTGGCCAAAGTGGCTCCTGTCCTTCTTTTCCTAGTCTTGATCCAGAGCTAGGCCTGGTGTGTGTCACAGGGACAACATGCATGCCTGTTTGTTTTGCCATTGAAATGCTGGATCCCCCTCCCCGGTGATTTTTCTTTCAAAATCCTGCCACGTAAACCAGACTTGTTCCCGTTTCTGGTAAACTTAATCACAGAAGACTGGGAATATGTTATGTTGTGCTTATTCCCAGTTTCTCCTGACACTTTACCTGAGTGCAAGGGGTGATTAGGGGGTGGCACATCCATGCACTAATTTCTCCACAGTTTCCAGCTGGCACAGATGAAGTCGGAGCTCTCCCTTCCCGTCCTTGCCCTGGCACTTGTGGCCTGTGTGAGCACAGCACTGCTGTAAGTAGGAGGAGAATATTTGGTTTGATATTCACTTTCTCACTGGCTTTGTGGGCAGCTTGTTTTACCTTCTCCTTGCTGGGGCAAAAATTGCAGCAGTTGGCTGTGGTCATCTGTTTGTGAGAGCAAAATATCCCTACACTCCTGGTTAACCCTGTGGCTTTGTAGGTGGCAAGCTTAAATATCCTGAAATCTTCGTGGGTTTTGTGCTTTGAAAACAGAAGTTTTATAAATGGCAAAGGTAAAGAAAGGCTCATCAGCTCCTTGTATTAAATGCATTTGGGTGTGCAAAGAGTTAGTGGTTTTCAAGCACATGTAGCTTCTGTTTTGATTTTCATCGTGCCTCAGGAGTGATACATTACTTTTTTTATAGGACAAGGCAGCAGAAATCAGCTGTGATCTGGCTCTTCACTGGAATGCTTTGTCTTTATTCCCTTTTCTTCGCTTGGAGAGCAAACTTGGATGTTACAAAGCCTCTGTTTCTAGGCGTGGTGAGTTGCACTCTAAAAACTGGTCTGGCATGTTAATTTTTGGCAGAAACATTAAAAACCTTAAAACCACCTAACCAGGGGGCAGATAGTTGTTTTGAAGCTGCATAAGGTACAAAAATATATCTACTTATTCTGTTTCTGGGGACACAGAAATAGGGTCTGTGAGAAGCTGTGGCTGCCCCATCCCTGGAAATGTTCAAGGCCAGGTTGGATGGGGCTTGGAGCAACCTGGGCTAGTGGAAGGTGTCCCTGCCCGTGACAGGGGGCTGGAATGAGATGAACTTTAAGGTGCCTTCCAGTTCCAGTTCTGGGATTCTGTGGTGTTGTGTCCCAGGTGGAGCGGTTCTGGCTGCAGAGCAGTGCTGTGGTGGCTGTGCTGGCAGGGCTGGGCTTGGCAACCCTCACCTCCCTTGGGAACACCGTGCTGGAGGGCAGCCGGGTGCTGCCCTGGCTGGAGTGGCTCTCTGCCCTTGCTCTTGTTGCTTCTCAAGTTTGGACAAATTACAGGTAAGAAGTCCCCTGGGCACGTGTCTTGGTGCAGCCCCGCAGGGCTGTGGGGTGCTGTGCAGTTGGGGTGCTCCTGTGAACCCCCCACTCCTGCTCCTGGGGTTTCTGTCCATGTCAGGAAGTGGAAAAGGCACTTCTCACATCCCACCTAAGATTGCATGGTCACAGCCTGCAGGACTCCCTTGTTTGTTCTCCCTCAGGGTCACCAAGCACCAGCTCCAGGCTGTAAATATGGGTGTCATGTAGGTTGAAGGAAGAAAACTCTGTAGATACTTAAACTTCTAAAAAAACCTGCTTGTAAATCTGTGCTTTATTTCCTAAGCAGGTTGGCAGAATTCATTTGACCTGAACTTCTCTTGCTTTCCTTCAGGTTTCCTTGTGCCCTGTGTTTTTTTTCTATTTTTTTTTCCCTTTTGAAGTGTGGGGCTTCCTTATCCCACAAGCGCCTGCAGTCACTTGGATAGGAATCAGTGTCCTAGTAGGGGTGCTCAGGTAGAGGTTGACCAATGAAGCATAGACTTCATCCTCAGGAATTCTTCCTTTGCACACATCTTTTCCAAAGGCTTGTCTGTAGGTGAGCCAGTCATAGCTCATGTCCTGAGCCAGTCATAGCTCATGTCCTGAGCCAAGTCATGGAGTGTCCTCTTCTTGAGTCCACTGTGTGCACACACAGATGTGTAACAAAAAGGATATAATCTCAGGTGATGTAAATCTGCTTCTACCTGATGCTACAAAAACTTGGCTTTTTAATGCTTAATTAAAAGCACTTCTAATGCTTAATTAAAACATTAAAGGATGAGCAAGATTTCAGGTACTTTACAGAACCATCGTTGTACTGGCACTTCCAGCACCAACAAGTAAGACTTTTGGTTTAGCCCAATAAAAAGAATCAGACTTAAGGTGAAGGTGTGCAATGAGTGTGTATTTTGGCTAAACTGTAGTGGCTTATGTCTGTGGTTCTGGTTTCTGGGGGACTGTTGTCTAAACGTTTCATTTCTATATCTCAGTTTCTCTGGAAATGGAGATGATTGAGTTGGAATGATTAAGTTGTTGATGATGCTCCATCCCTGGAAGTGTTCAAGGCCAGGCTGGGCAGGGCTTAGAGCGACCTGGTCTGGTGGAAGGTGTCCCTGCCCATGGCAGGGGTGGTGGAACAAGATGAGCTTTAAGGTCCCTTCCCTCCCTTCCCATTCTGTGATTCTGTGATGCTTCCAGCAAGATCTGACTAGGGTGGATTTCTGTGGTTGCCTCTTGCATAAAATTGTTCTGAAGATATGCAAAGCCATGCAAGTACCTGGTTTTAAGATACTGGTTTTTATCTGTTCTCTTTAGTGCTTGTGATCAGAGCAACAACTATGTTGTTGACAAGTTTGCAAGGAATCTGCTGTCCTCTATGCCCATGGGTGCAGTGATCCTGCTGAGAGGAGACTTACCTGGGAATGCTCTTCGTTACCTTCATTACTGCGAAGGGATGAGGCCAGATATCACCTTAGTGGACCAGGAGGTAGGTTCAGAAAGTGCTGCTTAAAGAGTCATCAGGCAGATTGAAACAGGAAGCAAAAGTTCGGTTGTTCCTTTATCTCCTTGAGGGGGTCTCGTTGTTCAAATAAAACTCATTATGTGGAAATAAATAAAATTGATATTTTTTAAAAGGGTTGTGGGTAGCCCTAGGATGGAGCATGGTGTGCAAGGCCCATTCAAGCCCAAAAAGCCACCAGTGAGGCAATAGTGGCTAGAGAGATGGGAAAGCCAAATTCCTTCATCACTGCAGATATCCAGATGTGCCACAGGGCTGGTGTTTGCCTTGCTGAGGAAGTTTGTCCCAGCTGTTTTCTGCAATTTCCCCAAAATACAGATGTTGGGGCAGAAGAAGACTTCTGGGATCAGCCTGGAGGGCAGAAGGGCAGCAGTTGCCCCATGGATGATGCAGCTTTCGGGTTTCTCCTGAGGTCTTTACCATGCTGAGGCTCATTCCCTGCATCCCCTCTGTTACCTTGGTGGTTTTGCAGACTTCTGTCCCCGTTTTTTACACTAAGATTGAGGTGCTGTGTGTCCCTGGGTGATGTTTGCACTCTTCCCTTTTTCACTGAGCGATGGGAAAATAAAAAAAAACAAAAACCCTCTTACGGAACAGAACACCTACATTTCTGCCACCACGTCATCCTCGCGCTTGGCTTTGCAACAAGAGTTTGTGACTTGCTGGCAAGCCCCAAACCCAAAACCTCGTGTTTAACCAAACCAAATCCCTGTTGTGTCTCTGTTTTGTGTTAGAGTGAGGACCACGTGCCTCTGATCAGAAACCAAACTGGTGACCCAGTGTGGTGGTGCGGTCGCAGCCACTGCTGGCACGGGAGGTGACTTCACTGAGCAAACAGTCATTACTCCCTCAAAACCCCATTTCTTCTGGATGTAAAAGGGATGAAAACTTTGAATTCTTGTTTTTAAGTATGGCAATATTTTTTTATTGATAGATGATGACTTATGAGTGGTATTTACCCAAGCTGGCAAAGCATTTACCTGGCATTTATTTTCCTGGGCACCGGTGGAATCCTGTGGAAGGAGTATTACCCGACGGGACACTTGCTTTTAATCTCCATCGTTTCCTCAAAGTAAATAAACAGTAAGCATTTCTTTCATATGTAACAGCTCTCCTAAAATCTTCGACCTCTTTTTTTTTTTTTCCCCCTACAAATTGTTTATGGAACAGCTTGGTACTGCATCCAAAAGACCAATTTTCTCCACTGACTTCTTCCCTGGTGGCGAGATTATTCTTGCAATTAAAGCAAATATCTGTGCAGGAGTAACTCCATCCGGATATAATGTTGCCTGTTGTTTTGAGCCTGGTTTGGTTTTTAGGAGGGAAAAATAAGAAGGTGATGATCAGAGTGTTTACTGATCATTTCTTTTGTTGTTGTTGATACAATTCATCACAGAAAAAGGAACAGTTCCCCTGCACTCAAAACGACGATGTCTGGAGAGCAAATTGCTGCTGCTTCTCCTTTGTGAACATTGTGGCCAACTGATTAGCATAGAATGAATGTATTCCAGGAATAATCATCATATAAAAATAGCTTAGTAAGAGTGGAGAAAGGATTAGATACTCACATGAATAAGAATAGCATCTGCATTTAGAGTAGCCGGGGTGAGCCTGGCGAGGGTGGGGAGGCAGAAGAGCAGAGCCAGGTGCTGTCAGGAAGAAATGGACTTCTCCTACGGCTTCTGGCATGTTCGTGAGGTCCAGGAGAGGGGAGAGGATGTGCCACCTGTGCTGGTTGCACAAGATGGGCAATGCCAGATGGGGTATTCGCTTGCAGCAGAAGAGCTGTTTTGCAAGCTGGTCCAAAATGTGCACTTTCTGATGTGAGATGGTCTGGACAGGTGTCTGTGCCACAGCAAGAGTTGTGCTGCACAACTTAGATCCACATGTAAAAGCCAACCCTCAGTCTCCAGTATGACCCTGTTTCAGTAAAAAAGCACAAAAGAGAATTTGTTTACCAATGTCTTTTCTTCTTCCTATCACACCTCAACCAAAAATTTAACCTCAAGATTTAATTTCATGCACAAAATTATATCACTAACAGAGATCACGGGAAGCAAACTCACCCTGTGACACCTTTCAAAAGCTTCTTTGTTTCTTGCAAGAGGTTAACCACCACTTCTTGTGACAGGAAAGTTTCCCCATGTGTGTCAATGCTTGGCCCCAAGGGTAGGTTTGTACATTGCCTTAGTCTCTCTTTGAGGTCTTGAATACTGGAACAAAAATATTCCCAAAGAGGATTTCACTGGATGGAAATTTTTCATACTCAAATTCAACAACAATTTCGGATATTTTAGTTGTTAACTTAAGAAACACTGTGTGTGTGGTTTGCTCAGGGACATGGGGTGGCCCAAGGTCTGGCACAGCTTCACAATTGCTCTCTCTTGGGTTTTTTTGGCAGTAAGGAGGTGTTTGTCTGCATAGGTCTTCATGAAGGTGACTCAACCTGGAGAAGGAGCCATTCACTCTGGCCCTGGGGGACGTGTGAGAAGTTGGTTCCTTCCAATGTTGTGTTTGACCCAGGAGAATGGATTCGTCTCACCAGGAATCTCTATAACTGGACTGAAGACTATGGCAGGTACAAGGCAGAGAAGATCTTGCTCCTTCCTCTCATCATTCTTCTGCCAGCAGCACTGTCACATCCTCTGCAGTGTTGCAGGAATTAACATGAGCCAGGATCATGATGGTTTGTGTTTTAGTAGATATAAGGAAGAAATTCTTCCCTGTGAGGGTGGCGAGGCCCTGGCACAGGTTGCCCAGAGGAGCTGTGGCTGCCCCATCCCTGGAAGTGGCCAAGGCCAGGGGCTTGGATGGGGCTTGGAGCAGCCTGGTCTAGTGGAAGGTGTCCCTGCCCATGGCAGGGGGTTGGAACTGGATGGTCTTTAAGGTCCCTCCCAACCCAAACCATTCTATGATCTATGACTTTTATTAGTGTGAAATATAGCGAGGACATTTCTAGTCAAGTATCAGCTTCAGATTTGGCCTTAAAACTTGAACAGGAGCTAAAATCATTGAGGACTTGAGACATCCAAAGGTTTAAATGTCATAGACTGATCTGCCATGGTAAAAAAAAAAAATCTCTCACTTCGAGAACTGGGGTGCTGTGAAGCACCTGATATGCCAGAGGCTCCTTTTGTGGAGAGAGTGGAATAAGGTTTATGAATGACAGAGGGTCAGCTGAACTCCCTGCTGTCAGAGCCATAGGCTTCATGATAGGTTTTCTTCTGCTTGGGAGGTCTGTAGCTGCCTGGGTTAGAAGGGCTGTGGTGGGTGAAGCAAAGTGACATGGATCTGACGGCTGAATTTTATTCTCATTCCCATTTAGTTTCAGTCCCTCTTCCTGGGAAGCTGTTGCCAACGAGGAGATGTGGCAAGCCAGGTAATTCTCCACTGCTCCCTTCCAACAGCCAGTGGGCAATGCCAGCTCACTGGTGTGGAAACACACACCAAAGCGGGCAGCTTGATGGGGCATGGCCTTATTGGATCCACGTGTGCCAAGCTTTGGAAGGAAAAGGCTGGCAGGATGAGGTGAAGCGTGCAAGGACTCCAGCAAAGCCTTCAGGAGAGTGCTCGATTTGTTCCCCTAAAGGTTCTACTCAAAGTATTTCAAAGGAGCAGAAAGCAGTTGGGGCTTGGGGTGAGAAAATACATCATGGATAGAAATTTGTGTCACTGATGACTCAAATGGAGGTGCTGGTTCTGTCCCATACGTGGATAGCCGTGCTGAAAATGTGTATAACCACATGATGTGAGCTGGTTGCATTAAGCAGTTACTACATGGAAGTTTTTCTTGTTTTCCCAGGATGAAAACAGCTTTCTTTATATTCGACCTTGCGGAGAGTGCCAGTGCGACTGCAGAAATGAAATCACAACTTTACACATTTGCATACAACGTAAGTCATCTGTTTGGGTTAGGAACGCTCCCTGTAGCCTCCATCATTTATTTTTTTCCCTTTTCTTTTTCGTTTCTTGACTCCACAGAAATGTGTTTCCATACAGGCCCTGTAATCTGCATTCCCCTTGTTTATCCAAACTGGGAGCACAGCCGATTCAAAGAGATTTGCTCGGGGATTTTATCCATTCCTACTTGCCCCCTCGGTCACAGAGGATGCCAAAAGCTAACCAGTCAACACCCTGCTTTTGCTATAATTATGTTGTCTGTGCTGGGCTCCAAACCCATGCCAAGAGATTGCTTGTCCTGAAGTTCCCCCTATGCACTTGTCCCCTCTGTCATTACACAGTCGTGCGTCTGAGCCAGCAAGTATAAAATCCAACAGTCTTCTCACTGCAAATTAATTCTGCTGCATTTCACACCAAAGAATAACACCCATAAGCTGGTGTAGGTATCTCTGGAAATACTGGACTGCCTGAGATGCCAACAGATGCACGAAGTGATCAGTGTGTGTCAGCAGAGAGGAGCAGCATTTCACACCCCAGCAGAGAGTCAACAAATAGTTTCCTTAATTCTTACCCATTTTGCTGTGATTTTTTTGCTGTTCTGCAAAGTTCTCAGGCACGTGCCTGCTGTTGAGCTTATGAATATTCCCTCTCAAGTCAACAGACTCCTTAAGTCCTGTGGAAGACGTCCTGATCTCCTGAAATATTGGATAAATGTCTTCCAGGCGCGGCGGTTAAACCTCTTTTTTTTCCCCAGCTTGGTGTAACACCTCTCTGGGGGAAGCACATAATGTGCCGTGGGGTTATCACCATCATCTGTAATGTTTCTAAACAAACAGCTGCTGTCGGAAGGGAAACGTTTCAGCCCCCCATGGGTTTCTGATTCATGCTGTTGAATGGCAAACACAGAGTGAATTACAGAAATACTCCGACTCTGGACTTGGACGATTCTAAATAGCATCTGTTCCTTCACGGGCAGTTTTGAAACACTGTTAAGAGCTGTTGGTCCCCTTAGTTCAATTAATTTGCCTCCCCCCCTTCTTTTTTGTTTTTTTTGTTTTGTTCCTGTAACAGTCATACAAAGAAATTGTCAACTCTCATCCCAATCACCCGGTGAACTGGCACAAAAACTACGCCATCGCCTGCGAGAGGATGTTGCGTCTCCGTCGGGGGGACGTGGATCCCGAAACGTTGCTCTCTGAAACTGTGAAACATTTCCTGCTGTACACCGAGAAAGCAGAGGATGATCCCCAGCGCCAGGACATCCTGCAGGCTGTGAAGCACCTGCAGAAAGAGCTGCAGGGGCTGAGGAAAAGGAAAGCAGACCTGAGGCGGGGAGCTGGGTAGCGCCTGGTCCCCCACCCGCCTGCTGGAGGGCTGGAAGTTTGAAGTCAAGGCTTAACATCTGAGTTAGTCCTTGACAACATGAGAATGGTTTTAAAAGGTGACAGAACTGAGGAAATCAAGTGTGCAGGAACATGTTGATGTTTGGTCTTTGGTCGCTGTTGCCAAATGAACTTTGGGGGTTCGGGGGGGGAGATTCATCACTAAAAAAATTACTGGGTTTCAAAAAGGAAAATTTTTCTTCTTAAAGGAACCTGTGATTCTGTTGTACTATGAACATTTATCTTTTTTTTTAATGAGTGCAGCATCCTTTATAGATGTAAAAATGTATTTAGCATTTAATTGTTTCCTCTGTTACTGAGCCAAGAGGTTTTCTACAGCCATTTTTCATTTGCTGTTCTGTGTCTGTGTGTTTTATGGTCACGGGACAGCGTGGTTAGGTGGGTTTCCCTCAGGACAAGGATATGGGATGGTGCCCTCACGGGAGCCTATTTTGAATGTGCTTTGTGCCCTGGCTGTGCCTGTGCCCAGGGGGGCATCATAATCAGAGAATCAGAGAATATTTTGGGTTGGAAGGGAACTTAAATACTATTTCGTTCCACCCCCCTGCCATGGCCAGGGATGCCTTCCACTATGCAAGGTTGCTCCAAACCCTGTCCAACCTGGCCTGGAACACTTCCAGGGATGGGGCAGCCACAGCTTTTCTGGGCAACCTGTGCCAGTGTCTCACCACCCTCACAGCCAAGAATTTCTTCCCAATATCCCACCTAACCCTGCCCTCTGTCAGTTTGATGCCAAACCCCCTTGTCCTGTCACTCCATGCCTGTGTAAACAGTCCCTCTCCAGCTCTCTCGGAGCCCCTTTAGGTACTGGTACCCCCTTTTAGGTACCCCTTGCTTTGCAGGGATGTTTTTTTCATTACACTGGGGTTTTTTTGGGGGGATAGACCTTATTGCTCTAGTTTTCCAACAGTGAGCAAGCAACTTGTGTATTTTCTCTTGCAGAGCACTGTGACTCTGCAGGCAGCAGTTTGGCACCTCCTGCACTGCCTCCACCTGGGGTGGAGGGTCTGTGGTCCTGAGGCCTCACAAGGGAACACAAGAGCAGCTCCCATGGGACACTGCTCTCCCTGTGGTTCATGGCATCTGTCCTGTGGCCTCTATTTCTGTGTGAGCCCATAATGCTCATCTACTCTGCCACATCCTCATGAGTACTGGAGATTCCAGAACTGCAGTTTTAGAGATATCAGGGGCTTTAACCAAAAGAACAGGTGTGAATCCATCCTGCTTTTCAGTCTAGCCCAAAAACCAAGGGGCTTGGTTAACAAGAGCTCAGCTACTTGTTTAAAAAAAAAGAAGAGATATAAAATAGCATGTTTTTCAAAATGTTTTCAGTTAATCTGTATTTCAAATGCTTAAGGCAGACCCAAAAGTCTGGTGGTGTCACTGAGAGCTGTGTTCATCCGAATTGTCATGCTTTGTTCTGTGGTTCTGTGAGGTCTCAACCCAGTGTTTTGCAGGAGAGAAATTGCTGCCAGGCCAGGTTTCATTTGGACTAGTAAAATTTTCAGAGGAGAAAGAAGTAAGTCTGTAAAGTTCATGTTATCAAATGGCACCTCCGGAAGCTTCCCCGAGGCTTGGAGGAGCAGACTGGGATGTGGGCAGGAGTGAGGGGTGTTGCAGGTGGATGCTCTGTTGGTCTGTAGTTTTGAGGTGTGTGTAGGGACATGTGGCCCCTCTTCCTAATAGATCTTTTTAAAAGTGGACTGCTTCTCTTTTTCTCTCCAAGTGCTGATTTTCCCAACTTTTCATTGGATGCTTCCTGTGTAAAAATCAAGCTGATATTCTAAGAATCTCTTAACTCCAGTTGCACAACAACGTCCTTTATTTTTCACCCTCTCACTCTGATTTATTTTTTGTAGTGTGACTTCCATAGCTATTCCCCCTGTCACTGCTATAAACCATTCCTGTACAAACAGCAGATGAGAAATGAGCAGTGAAAAGGAGGAAAACTGCAGCTGCTGGGTTGCAAAGCCACAAAGCAGAGGGGTGAGAAGGAAGAGGAGCAGTTCAGGGGTGTCATTTTAACTCTTTGTGTTGTAATTTACTACATTTCAGGTCGGCTGTGCCTCACTTAAATCTCTTCCTTCTTCTCAATCTCTGCAGAAGTGTTTGCACAGAGCAGGGGAATATCATACATTCCTCTGTGCAGCTTTCTCAGGGCTGGCTTTCTTCTCCCTTCTCCAAACCAGTCCTTCAGCCTGGCAGAAAAGCATTAGGAATCCAATTTTTGAATGCTTTTGTTACCTGCATTATTGAAAATCCATTCAAGCAAATATACTGAGCCGAGGGTTTTCTTTATCTTGATGAGATGCCCCTCCTTAGCCGCATAGTCTTGAAATAATTGGAAGCTTTTGTGGATTCCACTATCTGCTCCGGAGAAAAGAGGGGCTGTATCCCAGCCTGCAGCCTGCACTGACTAGTGTATCATCCTATATTGCAATAAACAGGGATGGAAACTACAATAAGAACTTTCCCAGTGGCAAAAAAGCCTTCCCAGGTGTGAAGGGCAGTGGAAAGGGGATGCCTTTTTAGGGAGCAAAGCACAACCGTGGTGTTGACCTGTGCTGTGTCCATGTGAATCCTGTGCACACGTGATGGAGGTGTCTGTGCTGGGTGTTCAGCTCAGAGATATCCCACGAAGGGGAAAATGTTTAACAGTGATGGAACTTCCGAAATTCCTCCCCCCTGAACCTGTTCAAATGAGATTTGCTGGTGCTTGCAGACGAAGCCGTTGCGTGGATGTTGCTGAGCCTGTTGGCTAAAAGGCAGAGGGATGCTGGCAGACTTTAATTTTTATCAGCTCCTCTTAGGTGGCACCCTGAAGTTTATCAAACAAGCAAAGCTGATTTGCTCTTCGTTAGTCTCAGTTGCATGAATCGGTTGCCAAGTAAACAGGATTTTGCATTTTCCTAATTACTTTCATATTTGTGTTTTACCTCTATTTGTTCTCTTGCAAAACCGGTCCTAATAATTAGTCAGTCTCCTGCTGCCTAGACCTTAAAAAAAAAAAAAAATAAAGGGGTGGGGGGAGAGGGGAAAAAAAGACTTCTGAAGGGTTTTTTCTCCCTTATAAATTCATTTTTGTTACAAGCATCTTTTATACATATTACTAAAGGGAACGCACTAAGAAATGCAAATAATAGTTCTTTATTTTATTATGACAGTTAATTAATAGCAACCTGTTTTAATGAATAAAGTCACTCAGAGTCCTTCAGCACTTCCTAAGTAGAGGCCAGAATCTGTAGGGATTCTTTTTTCCCCCCCATTGTATAGCTCCAAGACTCCGAACACTATATAGGGCCTGTATAGAAATGCTCGCTAATGAAGAGGGAGGGCGAGGAACTTGTCTGCATTCAAAGATCACTGGTGAGTCATTCAGCGAGAAAAGGCCCCTTGCTAGGAATAGTCACAGTTCCGCGGCATTGTGCTGGCAAAAGGGTTTGATCAAAGGTCTCCTGCCGAGCTTGCATGGTTTCCTTTCATACGACGACCATAATTAAAACCACTAATTCTCTTTTAAAATGCTGCAGGATGCCATGTAGGCATCTGTCTGGAGTGTCCTTTGTGCTGTCGGGAGCTGTTAAGGACCAGCGCCGAGGGCTTTTCAGCGACATGCCAGTCAGGAAGGTGATTCGACATAAGGGTGCCTCTGAAGGCTTGACAGGGCCTTGACTACACAATTCCAGCTGAATTTGCCCCTTGTCAGCTGCCAGTAAATAAATCTCAAAGAAGAAGAAGGGGGGGGTGGGGGGAGGCAAAGCTGAAGTTTCATTACCTGATCCCCGGGGCTTTGTTGGTTTTGGCATCGCCCAGGGGGAAGCCCTCGCCCCTCGGGGCTGGGGAGCTGGGGATGGCCATTGGAGACCCCGGCGCCCGGGCCCGTTTGAAGACCGTCAATACTTGTAACAGTTCAGCTGTTAGGGAGACAAATAAATGGAAGAGCCCATTAATCCCCTTTGGGTACTCGGTGCCTTTTGCCCTTTTATCGCAGCCTTATTAGGTTCCTACTCATCTTGAACCAGGAGGGATGAATTGAAGTTGTTGAGCGCTAATTGGCAAAGACTTTTCATCGCGGGCCAAGAACTTTCGCTGACTTGAAAGTAACTTCGCCACGGGGAGGATCAGCAAATTTTTGCCTCGCCGTTTAAAACAAAACCCCCAAATCTCGTTGGGGTACGATGTGGTGTTTAAAAAAAAAATTAGAAAAAAAAAAAGAAGAGAGGGAACTGCTGAATTATTGGGCTTGTCCTTCATGAGGATGTTGGCAACTTGTATTTGCACTTTAAAAGAGAGTCACAGAGCCAAGCATGGCACAGGATGATCCACCCCCAAATGCAGTTGAAATCCACGTGTCTTATGTGTGTGTTACTGAGACCTGCTCATGGAACAGGTTTCCCAAAAGGAGTCTGGGAGATGGTCTGGGAGGGGACACCATCGTTCTTGACTGTTTGCAGCTGCTCAAGGGTCAAGTAGAGCAGTGCTGAGGTTTCCATGTGCCAGGGACAATTCTGTCTGCCTTAGAGTCCTTCCTGGTTTTGGTGATGGGATTTATGGATGAGAAGTATTTCAGTGTGGAGGCACTTGGACGATCTCATGTGAATTGTTTTTTAATGTTGATTTTGGTAAATGCTGCATTAATTTGAAGGTCTTCAAATTAAGGTCTTCTTGCCCTCTCTCCCCATGTCCCCCATTGTGTATTTTAAATAAAGAATAAAACTTTTACCAGGTCATGAAAGCATCTTATACTTGATAAGTGACAATGCCACGGGCCACCTCCACCTGGAAGACATCGAGTTGGGGATTTTAGAGCACAAAATCCCATTGATGTGCTCTCCAACCTCTGCATTCGGGGCACTCATAAAACAAGGTGCCCACATTAAGGACAGCGTCTGCCACTGGGATGCCAATCTATGTACCCTGGCACAGCCCACCCATTCCAGAGCCCTCACCATCTTTCCAGGGGCTTCCGGGACTGGGAGCTTGACGTGAGCAAACAGGCAGCTAAAGCTCCTGCACGGTGCAGTAGGGGATGGAGACATCATTGTCAGCACCCTCGGAAAGGCTGTTTGGTTCGGATCTTCCTGACAAAGCCGGAGCGAGCACATGTGGTGTTGCCTCTGCCAGGTGTCTGGGACACCCTGCCCAGCTCCACGGCCACCAAGGGCCACACAGCGAGGGTGGAGGGGTGCTGGTGGCACCATGTTGTCCCTTCTACGGGAGCATTTAGGTGCTCTTGGACATTCTGGAGTTGTAACACATGGCTGCTGGTCAGGCACAGCAACAGCTTGCTGACCTTCGGGGAAAAAGCATGTGAGAGGAGCATGGGTT